CCGTCCTTGGTCCTAGCACATTCAGCAGGAGCCAGGGGCTCCCACCAGTGAGCTGAGCTCTGCCAGGAAGGGGCAGGAGGAGGAAGGCTGACCTGCAGAAAGAGGGGCCAAGGCAGGGCCAGGGCACGGCTGACACGGCTGCTGGTGGACCTGGAGTCGCCTGCTTAGAGGGGGACACTGGCATCCAGGGTCCTCCCTTGGCCCACATTCCTTCTCCTAAGTCCTTCAGGGTACTTTGTTCTCGGACCCCTGACCCCCTGAGCTGGCCCAAGGAACCTGGAAAGCACCGAGCTCAGCGGCACCGAACTTAACAAGGCACACCCGGGCACCAGGCCGCCCAGCAACTGAAGCCACCACCTTCCTTACCTAGAGGCCCCATCTCTGGTCACAACATGGACAAAAGCCAGGAAATCACTCCAAAGGACGTCTGAGCAGCAAGAAGGTGGGCGCAGAGCCTGCGTTCCAGCTCACAGGCGTTTCTTACTGCCCGCTGACTCGTACTCACGCACAATGCTGACATGTTTTGTTCTGTTTTTCCAGTTGAGGGCAGTTTAGAAGCAGGTATTAGACACGGAGAAGCTCTGCTGAGTGCTAAGCCTGGTATATGACTGGAGTGGAATAAAGATGGGAAAACTATAAAAATCAGGCACAAGGACTTGAAGAATAAAGTCGTCTGGAACAAGTCGTCTTGTAACTGGGAAAGCCGCCTTGACTCCCTCACCCCTGACTTGCCCTGGGGAAGGTACTGGACCAAAATTGGGAGGAGGCCGGGCCCCCACCTCCTGCAGGCCCTGCGGTCTAGGAAGCTGCATCTGGTCCCTTCCTCTGCTCTCTTCGTTTCTTCCTCCCCTCATTACATGAAGAAGCTGAGGCAGCTTATTAAAATACACACAACGCAACAGAGTTTAAAACATCATAACCAGGAAAAAACGCCATCAGGCTAGAAGGTCCCACCCCAAATCTGCATGGCTCTGTGTCTCCAGTGTGTTAGTGTAGGAGCCCCCCCCAGGAATCCCCCAGACTTCACCTGCAGCCCTACTGGTGGACCCACAAGGAGGGGGCTAGGGGTGTGTATGAGAGGGAGGGCAGCCAGTATAAAGCAGAGCCCCCACCCTCCCCACCAAGGAAGTGCTACTGAGGATCTAGCAATTTGCCATCAGCTTTCCTCTTCGCTCCAGGTTCCCTAAACTAACTAGATCACCTTCTGTAACCCACACCCAACCCTGGCCCCGAGGACTGCCCTCAGGGAGCCTAACACAAAGGCGCAAAGCAAGGGTCCCCGGGGCAGCAAGCTGGGGCTTGCCTGAAGGGGGTGGCCCTTTGCTTGGAGGTGGCAAGGGCCGGGGTCTCACCCTCTAATCCATTCCCTCCCCTGCCTACCACCCCTAGTTTGCAAGCAGCGATCCCACCTCCCAGACTCCCATTGGGGTTCTTCTTCACATCTGTCTTGTAACCAGACCAAACCCAGAGAATGAAGAGCCTCCAGGTCCCCATCAGAGCTGACTTCCTGGCCAGAGCTGGAGCTGTCCCAGAGCCCGCAGGGGGGACCTGGACCCTAGAGACTATCAGAACCAAGTCCTGCACTTCACAGACGGGACACAGAGGCCCAGAGGTGGAAGTGACTGGTCCAAGGTCACACAGCCTATTCGTGCCTGACTTAGGACCAGAAGCCGGGCCTTCAGACTCCCAGAACCCTGTGGTTTCTGCCTCAACTCAGGGAGGAGCCTCTTCCAACAGGCTTTCAGGCAACAGGACTGCCCCCCAGGCCCCACCCCTGCACCCCTCTTGCACCTCCAGACCGCCAGTCTGTTAAAGACTGGCAAGGGAAGAGAAGATAGGGTTAAGGTGGGGATTTTATTTAATCCTCTGAGCTGGCTTAAACTGATGCCACACTGGTTAGAGCAGGAAGAGAGAGAGACACAGAGGGATTTGGTGGGGGTTGGGGGGAAAGGGGCACATTAGTGAACAGTCACTGGATACCAAGAGGGCAGGCCTGCCAACGAGTTTAACAGACAGATACGCACCTTCATGGACTGCGACCCCAGGGCCCAGGCCTCCGAGCAGTGCCCTTCCGGCGCTGGACTCACCCAGCCACCCAGTCTCCACGGTGCTCAACAGTGCAGAGCAATGGAAAGACCACAGGCCACAGGCTGAGACAGACCTGAGGGTGAACCTCAGCTCTGCTACTCACTGTGTGACCTTGGGCAAGTTACTTTACCTCTCTGAGCCTCAGCTTCTTCCTCTGCTAAAGAGGCCTGAACACACATTCCTTGCAGGCCTCCTGGGAAGCAAGGCTGTCTGAACTCTTGCACATAAAGAGACACAGGGGAGGCATCAAGTCAGAGCTCAGTGCTGTTATTACATGTCTCACATCCTTTATCTCTCACCCAGCCTGGTCCATCACTCTCCGGCTCCGGCCTGCTTACATCGTTGACATTAATAACCCTAATGATAATAATCCTTCCTAGCCAAACAGCATTCGTATCACTTCGAAACACTAAACATCCTGCCCGCTGGGGGTCACAGCATCCCTGCCATTAGTAGCCAGCGCTAAGGTAGCCCGCCAGCCCCCAAGTTCCCCTTCCCACACTGTTTCCAAGTCTGAGCTTTGGACTTGTGCCCCAAGACCCCGAAGGAACCCCTACGGCAGATCTCATGGGGGTGCGAGGAGCCCCTGGCTCGTCAGCTGGAGCCAAGACCACCCCTCCCATCGCTTCCAAGGCTGACCCTCCATCTGGCCCACTGCTCTGACCATAAGCAAGAGGCCCTTCCCACTCTGGCCTCCAACTCTCCAATTCTGAGAGCCAGCTGGGCAGCTGGGAGAGTCACGGCTCGCCAAATCTGAGGCCGAGGCCAGGCTGTGAGCTCCTCACCCTGAGAGTTCTCTGAAAAGTGTGGATTCACACTCTTGACCTCACTGGTTCTTCAACTGCCAGCCACCACCCCCAGGATCCATGTGACCATCTTCACATTCCACAAGGGGAAACTGAGGCCCAAAGCAGAAGGGCCCAGCCAAGGTCACCCAAGGGATCTAGGTAGAACAGGGAAGTGAACTCAGTCTCCTCTGGTCTCTTAAACCCTGGACCCTTTCCACTACCCATGTCTGCCTTCCTCTTAACTCCTTCTTCCCCACAGCAGGGAAGCTCCCAAAGTCTCTCCAGTAAACCTGGGCCCTACGACAAGGTCCAAAAACTCTCCTCCAACATGGGGGCTGCCAGAATGCGCGACTCTCCCTTCCCGGCCACAGTCCCTCCCCGTCACTGTCTTCAGGCCCGTCACTGCAGAACATTTCCAGCTCCTGGTAGCAACTCCCGGGACATCCAGACTGCATTTGGAGTGGGATTAGAATTCTCGGGATGGGAGGCAGAGGCCGGCAGGTGGAATGGGCTTCTACCTCGGCTGGGCTCCTCAGGGCGGCAAGCCCTCCCCCACACGCACTGCCCAGGGCCAGTGCCTGCCGGCGACGCTCCCCGCGGCGCGCTCCAGCGGGGGACACCACAGAGCTGCCCCACACTGCACTCCAGGGGTTAAAAATGCAGCATCCGAAACAAGGGTTAAAAATGCAG